TTTATTCCTTGCTGATTCCACTCTTTTCCACTATATTCAGCACTTAAAACAGAACCACCGTGACATTTGTCTTCAAAACAGGCTTTACAATTAATCTACCTGATTAAATGAACATTTTGAATGAACTCTCATTACCCTAACAAGCACAATCTGTTAGGCAATTGCTTCAATTTACAGCAAAATTCTATCAATTTATCCAGGCCTATACATCCAATCCACATCAACATGGATTGATCTTCTCTTTTATTTACACCTCAATTATACAAGAAGTAGGATTGAAAGACAGAGACTTGATTCCATGGAAATCTTATGGCATTTTAAACCTTTGGTACTAAAAAGCATTCTATCACATTGAGTGGTTTTCAGATATTCAGGTTTAACTGTAGTGGTAAATCCTCACATCACATCCATTAATATATCTTGATCCTCCAATGGATTAATGTTGGATTAACCAGGGCAAGAGAAAACACAAGATGGATTAAGTCAGATGTTAGATAAGTTGTGACCTGACCTTTAAACATCCCCCTCCTTTCCAGAATATCACTGCTTTAAAATCAAATTCCCTTATGGTACTTGAGATCTTTTTTGGATCCAGAGATCTACTCACACAAAAGGTTCCAGCTTTACCATGTCTAGCTACAAGACTTTGTGACCCCCCCCCCCCACTACACACAATAGTTAAGTAGATAGGGGGGAGTCCAGAGACTTTTCACCTCATTTACCAGGCTCTGCCACTTAGTGTAGTAATATAACAAAGTCAGCCATCACATGTCTATGAGATAAGTCCCTGCCAAGGCTAATTGGATTAAACCACAGAAGGCCCAGACTGTATAAAGATCATCATATAAGACAAGTTCCTGATAAGTACTAACTAATTGGTAAGACTATACATGTTGATTAACAAACTAAACAAAACACAGCAATTATTTTTGGATTGTGTGATAACAGGCCAGAATCAGACAGAAAGATTCTTTCATGGGATAACCCAATTTCATAAACAGCATGATTCTTTGATAACCCCCTCCCAAGAAAACAAAAACTGAGCAGCAATTATTTCTAATTCTGTGGTAAAAGTCTAGAGTCAAAGAGAGAACAAAGATTTTTGACATGATAACCCCCCCCCCCCCCTACTGTCACTGGGAAAATGCCATATGAAATGCAGGATAGAAACTATTAAGTTAGTAAGTAAATATACATGTAGTAAACAAACTGAACTGTATAGAAATGCTTATAAATTGTACTCCTTTCATGATATTGATATTGCGAGGAGAGTTCACAGTATTCACTTCGTACTCTGATCGATCACAGACTTTCTTAATACCCAAGCAGTATTCTCCCCAGGATTTTTCTCAAGTGGGTGCAAAATTCTATATCACAATTTAGACCAAATTTGGTCAAAATATGCATATTTTTCATGATTTCTGTCTTTTTCAAGTGGGTGCAAATGGATTATCAGGTGGGTTCTTGCCAACTTGCCATCATGCTGGGGAGATCACTGCCAAGGATCCGTTTTTGGATCTGTTGCAACTTATCATTCGGTTGCAAGTCACAAGACATTGGTTTTCTATGAATCGCAAGGTCCGATCTTAGCAAAAACAGACCCTTGGGTATCAGAGACTAGTACGATGTATTAGAAAGGGTTTTCTATAATATATGCAGAGAGACTTTTCCTGAGTGAAAGAGAAAGAGCTCTAGATGCCAATATGATTACTACTAGCAGCTAGTAGTCCATGGGCTTCTAAGGAAAAAATCTTGCAATTCATAAAACAGAAGTTAAACCAAACTATTGGAATAGGAAACAAGGTAGCATTTACATATAACATGATAAGAATGACCTCAAGTTAAAGACCTGACTATGATATTACTGAGATGAAATCTTGGCAAGAAATTAATTGGTAAGTCTATACATGTTGATTATGAGGACATTCAGTAATAAGCTTTGAAAGCCACAGAAGTCATTACTCAAGATAAGGTGACTGAGATAAGGCAGCTACTGTACTACTGTATGTACACTGTACAGTACATCAGAAATAATTATCAACAATTCATACAGTTTTATTACTTCACCTTCCAAGGTATGTTTATACATAATATGAGATTCAAGGGTGTCAGCAGCAAGATATTCTCCTAAGTTTTTTGCTGTTTTGAGGAAGCCCTTAAAAGCCAAATACAATACTAAATCATTGGAGTCATTGACACAAGATTTTCAAATCAAAATTTGGTTGACCTTGATTTTGAGACTAAAGGTAGTGCAAGACTGCTTTACTGAGATACAATTAATTTACAATCAGTTGTAAGAATACAACAATACAAGAAGTCATAAATGAGACAGAGATGATTGCACAGATAGCAAGCAATGGAGATAAACAATTCAGTGTCTTATCAGAGGAAATTCACAGATCATAAACTAATTGGAAGAAGGAGCTATACAACATGATCACAAGAACAATGTAGCTCTATAAGGTGTAATTATTTCCAAAAGATAACACTTCTCACTCTGATGTCACACTTTGATGTTAAATTGAGCCTTAATTACGATCCTAAATGTCAAGTTCTAATTGGTTAATTGGGCAGTGCATGCACATTATCAAAGCAACAGATCAAATTGAACCATTTCATATGTGACTTTGAGAAGGAACTCCCGAATTTAGGTAAGATTTTTATAAGCTGCTTTTTGGTTAAAATCAGTTAGTGAATTCTTCTAAACTTGAGGCATTTTCTGGATGACTCTGCACAAACTGAGGTAAAGTTGGGACAGTTTGACTTAATATGACACTTGAGTTCATCCAGGTAATTATGTGCAATTACAATACAGGTAGGTTAATTACAGGTGAGATATGATGCAAAGAAAGTGAGGGAAATGCTGAGAAAATATGTTACTAGGAGGGCAGTTGCATGACGCATGAAGAGAAAGTTACAATTGTGTAATCAGGCTGAATAATTCACAATTAACTAAGTTTAATTATTGGTATCCAAAGCACCCTACCCGTACTATCTCTTATGCCATGAACACATTTCCTTTGATTTTCAGTCAAATACCTGTCTGATGGGTATTTTGTCTAAAATTGCTTTCAGTTTTGAACGATATACTCATGGACCAGGCGCCAGTGTTGAAGGCACTCTGGTGAATTAAAATGGAGTTTTGGAAACCATTCTGTTATTCCGTTAAAATAAGATATTTTGACCAATTTTACTGACATTTCTTTGGCCTCTGTCTGTGTATAAAATATCTACTTAGATCGATTGAAAATTTAAATATATATTTACAATAACAACTCTAAGGCAATTTACTTTGAAGTATAGGGCTACACACGCCATAATTGGGAAATCACAGGTAAAAGCAGATAAATTGGCCAATTTCATAGCATTTAACTTTCACCTTCTATCAAACTTCACTGTGGTCTTGCTGCCTGCAATTATACAGTTTGGAATCTTAAAGGTGCAACTGAGCATAAAGAGAATTTTCATGTACTTACTTAAAAAAAACTACACTTGCAACATTATTTGCTCACATTTCTTGTACGTATTTTCCTGAAAGTTCTGACTTTATTTCATGAAAAAGCTTTGATTTTAGGCCAACTTGACAATAATGTTAATTAAAAAATTACGCTTTCCTTTATTGCCAGTTTAACAATATGCACAATTTGCAAGACATTCCTCGCTAATTCCACAAGTTTCTACTACTTTTCTAAATTCACCCTCCCCATGATCTCATTTCCTCCTAATCCAATAATTCCATTCAGGTGTAGCACTTCATTATTTACACATCATTTCACATAACAATAACCACCTAATCAACAAACAATACCAACCAATTAGCCCTAGGTAGGAAAAGTTACAAAAATATTTCAACAAACAATTAAAACATAATATCAACAAGTAGAAGCAATTGGATTAAAATCATGCCGTTCATGCAGCTCGTGGCTAATTTTGAGTATTGGAAATAAGCTTAGAGAACGTGTGAAAATCTCCAGATTTTGACTTTGAAGTACCTTTGTGTGGCTTAAAGCGTGAAACCCAAGTGGTCCTCAGTTAGTTCAGAGAATAACACTGAAGTGGAAGCAACGAAAGTCAATGTGTTGAGCTAAGTGTTAGCGCTTTGGATAATAGGATATATGGAATTCAGTTTCAGAGGGATAAGAATAAACCTTAGTTATTACAGGAACAATTCATTAATGGTAAGTAGGAAGGAAGTTCTCGATTTTGATTTATATGATTGTTGCATGATGAACAACAAAGTTTTGTAGTTGAACCATTGTGACTCAAATGTCAACTTTTTTCCTACTCAGGGTTGGGGTGCCACAAAAATAAGAGGTTAACCTTTTCAAAGCTTGATTTTGCCTCTAAAAGACAGCTTCGTGTACAATAACTTACTACACTCAGGGCTCTAGTAGTCTCAGAGTAATATATTTAATTTGTCAAGTGATGAAAATAATGGATTCAACACAAATGTCAATGATTGAAATACATAGAATGAATCTGACTTATCAATTTTAAAATATCAAACATATACATATACGTCCTCAAAACACTTCAAATTATTTGAAAATGTTTCAAAACACTGTGCACCTTGATACAAGTTGATATATTAACTTTATTCAAACATTTCTATGATTTATATATTACTTGAAAATTCTACTGGTATAATCCTTCCAAAATCAACAAAAAATTGAAATATTTTAATAATATTATAAATATTATTTGATATTCAATTTGAACTATGAATTGTTATAGAATGAATCTAACGAGGCGTAATTCTGGATATTTAACTGAAAGGCCTATCAGTTGGACCACTTCAAGTATTTCAACCCCAACTGATAAACCTCCATGTGTCCCTGTATAACACCTGTCAAAAGTCCCCTGCATTGGCCCAATGTAAAATCCCTATAGAAATCACTCCATATTGGCTTAATATCACATAAAGTAGACTAAACCTTAGGTAGATTTTCTATATGAATGTTTACGATTGGTCGGCTTGTATTGGTAGTTTCAGTTAGACTGTTAGAAGCTTAGCCTAGTTAATTTACACTTGTAATAATACGATTGAACATAGAAAAATACTTTATTGTGGAACTTGGCAGTTGATCATGAAACATATCACAGTATTATGGATATACGGAAACTTATAACAGTTATATGTACACTCACTCAGCAAGGTAAGTTTTACGAGGTTTTAAAGATCATAAATGTCGTACTGCACTTCAATGTATTCTGAATGTTCTCTGAAACAATGGCTGAACTCCATATGCTTGTAATAACTAGGAGATCGTAAAGTTTCATACATCTCAGATAAGGTGGATATTTTGATCAATATTGTCAGTTGATAAAACTGTACAAATATGTCAACGTGAATAGTGAGGAAGTGATATATTTAGGATTAATTGCCGTTAATGTTCCATTTGAAAATATTATTCCTTGTGATTATACTGGTCAATACACACTAGGAGCATTCATGTACAAAGGAAGCCAGACATGTAAGTTCAGATTTTATGGTTAGGTTTTAAAATTCAAAATTGAGTACAAAAGAGTGGAATTAGCAAGGAATAAAGTAAACAGACATGTAGTTAATAGTCTAAATTGTATATAAATGCAAGAAAATCAGTCAATTCATTCAAATTTAAGAGAGAAATAGTGTGAAATAGGTGTCAACAGACAGACATTTCGATATGATGAGTAATACAGTGAGTTTAAAATTTATAATATAATTTTTAGCCTTTAGAATCTTTGTCACATTTCCTCAAATTGATGACAGCCAAGAGGCATGTTTTCATTTCTCAACGGATCAATTACCTATTATTTAGACTGTTTGCATCTTTTAGGAAAACGTAAATAATAGTTGTGACAAACACAACATTCATGATTCAGTAAATAACATTCTATTATAAATTCTGTCAAATACACAATACAATATAAAGTTTGTCAAATAGTCTCATACTAAACTGATCATGTTTAATATCAAACCTATATTGAAATGACCTAGGTATAAAAATATAGCAGATGGCTTTTGCAAAAATAATATGGTTTAAAAAATTCAGCTGCTTATTTTTGATTCTGGACTTCCTGCCAAATGGTGACACTTAATCCCTTAATAATTTAGCTAAATGTCCTTTACAATTTCACCTGTTGTAACATATATTTATTTGCATGTATTAGATATAATTTAGAAGATCATGTCGGAGTTGTATTCAGAGTTTTCTATTTTTGAATTATTTCAACAATTGACAGTTTATATCTGAAGTAGCTTATAAAATTTCAAGTCTTTGAATTCATACATCGATTGTGCTGGATGATCTAACAAAGGTTTGGGATATTTTAGCAATACAAGGTAAATCCCAATGTGTACACATGTAAAGGAAACACCCGTAAAAAATATATCGCAAGGGTTAGGATTTAAATTGAACAATAGAGCACAAAAGAGAGGAATTAGCAAGGAATAAATCAAGCAGGCATGTAGTTAACACTATGAATTATATAGAAATGCAAGAAAATAATCAAGTTCATTCAAATTTTAGAGAAACTGAGTGAAAAAGAATGACGTTACTGGCCATTTTCTAATAGGAATTCTCCAATATTTGAGGCCTAGAAAGCATACAAATAATGCATTCAGTGAGCAATGCTATGTGAACAGCAAGTTAGCATTCTGGATCTAATGATCAAAATTAGAGAAGTCAATATCAGAAGTTATTTGAAATCTTGAAAATCAGAAGTGCAAAGATGTGAAATGTGCATTTGAATTTCAACTTTGTTGCTCCATCAGAAATCTCATGAACTCATTTCCTGTGAGAACAAATAATTTGAAATGATCTAACTTAGGCGATTCGGCAATTTTTGCTATTCCTGACTGTATTTATGTAAACTGTACTCCTTGCTTATTCCACTCTTTTTCACTCTATCCATTTCTATTTGGTAATAGGTGGCCAAATGAAAAAGAAAGCTGTTAAGTGTTTTTTCATCAATATAAAAGATCCAGTTTCAGAGAGTAATGAAATCAAATATGTCTGACATTGCGATAGATTGATTCTCTGATACTTCCATCATTTTATCAAACTAAAACGACATTAATTGAATCATTGTCAGTCTATGTTAGAGTTTCTACTGCGATTAGGAATTACGGAAATGAAAGAAAATATTATTCATGGATAACCTATATCAATCATTGTATTACAATTTTAGGCAAGACATTTATTCAACAGGGATGAGTGTTTTTATGAACATTTGAAATTATTTCAATAGATGAAGGTCAAGCAATAAACATGTGCTTATGCTCAGACAAACCTAACTAAATTTCAAGTGAAAACTACATGTTTGCAAACTACATCCTCTATTAAATAGATTATTAGCCCATCCTAAGGGAGCAATATAGCTTCTCCCTCAGGATACAAAGGGAGCATTCCTTATAACAACAGCAATCACCCAGAGGTGTGTAACATCCTCTATCTATCTATGCCCCATCCTTATCAATAACACCCTGGGGTCATATATTACTAATCAATTTCATTACATGGTTACATTACATCATAAGAGATAATAGATAGGCAGAAACTGTCATTTAACATTCAATAATTACACACTAGTCACATTACATAACAGGTAGAAACCCTTCTCTCTCATAGTTAAAGCATTACATGGAACCAAGGAGCAATCTGTCAATTTCTACTTTAATGAAGAGGGTGAAATTTTCATTAGATTTCAGGGTAATATGAACCAAGGGTGGCTGTTTCAATAATGAATCAAATATATTTACCTTGGGGGCCATTATGTTAAAGTTGCATTGCAAATAATGGCTTCTTGTTTGGATTCATGTTATTGAAATAGGAATTAGAATCCTCTATTTTTAATCAACTGGGAGGGTTTAATCACCTTGGCAAGCTAGGAAAATGAGGTTTTAATATATTATGTATATCTTTGTGGCTTCTGGCATTATAGGTGAAATATCTGTGACCACAGCAATTTTGAAACTGATATACATGTAACTGCAATATTTGTGGCTTCTGGTCTCTGGCAAGAAGTTCAAATATAATTTTCTTTTCAGTAGATTGTACAACTAGAACTTGGCTGTAACTTATTGTAATTCATTCATGTTATTTCCTCAATGCAAAGTGAGCATGTGTTCGCAAAATCCAATAATTTACTTTGATAAAATTATTGGAATTCAATTTATACAGCTATGATTAGAATAACATAACAAACAGCAGGATATTACAATTAAATGAACAAGAAAAAGCTACATATTAATTCACGAAAGGAGGACTGAAAATTAACTTGCCTCGTCGAAAAGTTCTGAATTTGATTAGGGATCAATTTGAAATAGCCAGAGATGTACAGTAATTTAATTTTGAATGACCTTTGTGTACTTTCAGGTGATTAGACAGTAATTGATGTCAGTTGGTGCAATTTGATGTCAGTTGATGTATATCAGTGTCAGTTGATGTAACACACATTATCAGCAGCAACTAAATCATAGGATACCACAATTCAATATTGGAGACCATAATGTTGCACAGGAAACCATAATTTAATAGTAAGGTCACATGGGACACCGATTCAACACATGAGTTCCTGATATATCATTTGATCGCAACTCATAATATAAGAGACTATTGCTGGAAGTGTAATCCTGACATATCGCCATAGCAATGCAGCCGACAACCAATATGGAGAATGGCTGTGTGTTTGGGCTGCCAAAAGGCGTCCTGAGTATTCTAGCGAACATGGAACGTCACAAAGATAACATAAAATGGAACATTACTGACAGTAGCCAGAATAGTTTCACACTGTCGCTGACGTGGCGGTTCAAGCGGAACAAGACAATGAAATGGGGGATGTGGTTCAAGTTACCACCCACCATTGAGGAGCTAGATCAGAAGCTGAACAATAAACAGGATTTCATAATTCCTGATCAAAATGATGGTGGCATCTTACCCGATCAAATCCCTGGTATTACGGTACCTAATGATCGCCCATATATGGGCAATGGACACATCAACAATCATCATATGCCTATGGGTCCCCCTGATGTTGTGAATATGACAAAACCAACCACTGCCACAATCGGCACACAGACTAATATAACACTTCATGTGCCATTGACCAATCAGGAGTCAGAACCGCAACAACCCAGTAGCCAACCTGATATGATCTCAGTATCAACTCAAGCCAATGTTCCCCTACGCAAAGAAACAATTTCATATGTCGATAATTACGACACCAAACTTTCGCGAAGCATGTCATTTCGAAATAAACCAGACATTGACAAGCCTAAAGACAAAGCTTCAAAAATGATTCGCTCACAAAGTTTTCGGAACAATTTCAAACTGCTTCAATGGATTATGCCAAGTCCCCATAATAAATCTGATAGGTCACCTAGTCGCCTTAGCAACCAGAGTATCCAATCAGATTCAGAGATAGCATTCAGGTCACCATCAAAATCACGCAGTCCTTATGATGATCAATACTGGTCACCTGGTTACAGTGAACGGGATCGCATTAGATCTAGTAGCAGTTCAAGTGTACACAGTATGCCAGTAGGGCGTACCCCCACCCCAGGGCGAACCCCTACCCCCAGAGGAAAACCCCTACCCAATTATCACAGCCTCCGTCCCACATCATCGGCAAGCAGCTTAAAACAAAAACATAAATCTAACTATAACACATCTCATATTAGACCTCGGTCTGCGACACCTACCCCAGGCCACAGGAGGCATAAATCATGGGGAGAAAATAATCAGGAGTTCACCCCCAGTGCCATGCAGGATCTCTCAAGAATATCAGTACCTTTGGATAACCCCAGGGGGGTGACTCCTAACTCAGAGGTATGTACCCCAGAAGCGTGGGGATCAACCCCTCACTCTAGGGGGAACTCCAAAACTCCGAACTCAACAAGGAAATCCCATAATGACAACCCAATAGACAAGGAAGATAAACTATACTCATATCCACGAAGCCCCGTGCCAGGACGTGTCCCTAAGAACAAACGTGTCTCTCCCCCACATGAGATACCACCAATACCACCCCTACCCCCAAATTTCAAACTAGATGACGATCGATCATATCTCTCAGACTCTACAGAGTCAATAGTCGACCTCAAGGATGGTACGAGACATCGGCGAAAAAAAATTAACGTTGGGAAGTGTATCCAAGCATGCGATGGCATTCTATCATCTGATGTATAATTACGACCAATAACAGTATTTTTAATGAAAAATTCAGTATTTATTTCCAATATTTGGAATTTTTAATCATCCTTTAGTAATACATGGGGCCTCAAAACAAAATACAAGATTTATTTCTAAACACAAAGTTGTTTTCATTGAGATAAGTTAATATAATGCCCCTCAAATGATGTTATTATAAAGGCCAAGATATGAAAAACATGAGATTGGGACTTAGGGCTTAAATTCATGTTTTGTAACGTGTAAATAGATTTGTATTAAAGGTGTGTTATATTGTTAATAATTTCTATCCTGTTTTTAATTTGTGTTCATAAGAAAACATATTTTAAGAATTACCTGGCATTAAACTAAGGATTACATTTAATGATTAGTGATTATATGAACATAAAAGGTTATAATGAATAAAATAATTTTATGTCAGCTGTTTATTTGTGTTAATTTAAGGGTAGTGTTCACGAAGGGAAGTGTCCAATTGAGAGTTGAGTTAATATCAGAATTTTTGCAAGGGCCAATTAATGACACCATATGATGAAAATATAAGAAGATATGCATTCTATTTCATAAAGTACTCCTGCACGTATATACAGCATTACATTTGACTAACATATAGCTTACAAATTGTGTGGGTATAAAAGGTAAAATGATTTTATCTTGAGTGAATATGTTAGTTTTATGTGGCTTGCTTTATAAAGATCATGCCAAATGAATAGCAGGTTAATTTGAGCCTCTAATAAAATAAACATTTTTTAACAATTTGATCCATCTAGTCTGGTGTTTAAACGTGTTAATAGAATTCCTAAATAGTTTAGAGTCTAGAACCCTTTTCAATATAGTAAGATTTTGCCTCTTTAAAAGAGACCTTCATCTCCACTCTTTGGGTGAAAGATAATCCACTGATCTCGCTTGGACCAATCAGATGACATTGATCTAAATTTAGCTCCAATATTTGAATCGCAATCACAGAATTTTATATCTCCATATATAAGATATTTCCCTCATAATCAAGAAAGTCCAAGACAGCTTTTGGGGGTAATTAAAATCTTATCGTTATCGAATCTGTATTTGTTCTCTTCAAAGAGTACATAACTACTACTCCCCTACTCCCCATGTCTCAGAGACTTGTATACAGTCCCAAATATGGTCATAGTCAAGAAGATGTATTCAAAATCTCCAAGTCATTGGCTGAGGTGGTACAAGAGGGGACATATCCCAGAGTTCATAGATGACCCTATCTCTAGAAAAGATAAACCTCTATAAATATGAATCCAGGCTAGACGTTCATCTTTGCATGGAGATTGTTCACCTATGAATTCTGGGTTTATTTCCCTCTCTTTGGCAGTCCAAGACTGTATGCTCACAATTTTTAAAAAATTGCAGAAGCCACAGATGAAAATAAAAAGAGATTTTTACCATACAGCCCTGTACAGCCCTATGGCAAATTTGATAATGACACTGACAGTTGTTCATTATATTTGAAATGATTGTACTGCCCTATCAGTTAGTATATTCAGATCAATGCCATTACCATGATAAGGCTTTGAATTCTGTGATGTTCATTGCTTTAATACAAACAGAACTGATAAGAGTGTCTATGATGAAGGTGAGGCAGACAATCCAGCTTCCTATGTGCACCTCTTTCAAATGCTTTGATGGTTACAGAATGGATTTTTAATGGTACAGATAATACCTGAATACTGTCTGGCACAAAGACTCTAGAAATTACCTCATGCAAAACACTTTCTATTCAATATTTTGTGTCATGGGTACCCTTCTCAATAGAGTTCCATCTAATCTCTTTAAATAAGAGATTCCTAGATAGATGCAAAGAAACATCTACCCTCTCACAATTGAAGTTACACAATTGCTGGTGTGTGCATTGTTAACCAATAGGCCTGGCTGGCGGGCTTACATCTCATATCCACCCCCCCCCCCTAAGGCCTTTGACAGCTATTTATGGGGTCATTAAAAACCATATCCTTGCTTGTCCTATTTATAGAGTAGTATTAACTACTAGCCTTTGGGCATCAGGGCATAACATGGCATCTACTGGAATGTAATTCAGCTATTTTGGAACTCTGCTAAGGGATGAACTCAGCATTGGTTTTAATCACTAAAGCAAGGAACTCATATCCCATACACTCCCCACAATAAATTTGGCAATCAAATAAAGCTTGGAACTCATATCCCATACAATCCCCACAATAAATTTGGCAATAGAAAGTTCCCCTTTGGATGACATATTCAAGACTGTTGATGTCTGGCGATTTTGTCATCGATTTCTGAACTCTTGTCAAGGAACAAAATTGAATTCACACACAGACAGGTATTGATAAGTAGGCTATCAAATGAAAACTTCTTGTTGCCAAACTTGTTGAGGGGAGTGTATGTTGAAATATCTGAGTGTATTCTTGTCATCACTTGATTATTTTACTTCATGATCTTGGACATACATTTAGAACTACATCCGTGAACACCTCTTTAAAAACACCTACAAATGAACACCTTTCTGAAGTTAACACCTTTCTGAAGTTAACATGTCTATGAAGCAGACCCCTGTTTGAAGAAAACATCTCTAGAGAGAAAACACCTCTACAACATGAAATTAAGGAGAAAACACCCTTCAGAAATGAATAATCTGAGGAGAACATCTCTATGAATTAAACATAGTGAACACCTGTGACGTGACGTAAACATATTTTTGAAGGAAAACCTTGAGAAAGTAAACACCTAGAACTAGAAAGTAAATATTTCATTTAATATATATTCACCTTATATCCTTAAGACATGCTGCTAAAAATAAAATAGATGTTATATGATTACGGATTATTCAGTTAAGCTAGGTTATGACATATTAGCGTAAACAAGTTCAATCAACACTTAAGATTCATGACTTCGTCAAAAGAAAACTGACATTAATAAACTTAAAAAGTGAATCCACTCTATTGAGATGGGTTAATAATAGAGTCCAACATGGTATTTGTGACTCTATGAAGGTGATTATGAAGTGTTTTATGTTGAAACTTGTATATTTAGCTGTATATAAGATGTTATTCATATGTACATTTAGAATCTTCTATTGTATGATTTTAATAAACATTGTCAGTTTCTACAATAAATGAGTTTTCACTTTTATTACAATCACACATCTGGGGGAACTCAGCTGCCTATGAGCATGATGGCAGTAAAGACTAAAGAGTAGAGACAGTAAAATGTTAGATGCAATCTTTTCAAAAGAGCAGGCCAGTGTCTTTCTTGCAATTCTTATTTTATTTCCTGAAAAAGAAAAGAGTTATCCGATCAAATATAGACAATGATAGAAGTAAAGTCAAATAGGATTATATTCCAGAAATAATGACAGAACTGTTAGACTTTTTTGAAACATGGAATGATGACAGCAAGCAAAAAATGCTGTAAAATTGTGACTCTTTTCAACACTTAAATTACTCTCAACTCATCTCTAGTAGTCTTTATACCCCTTAAGAAGTTGAATAAGTAGATTCTACTTGAATTTTTATCTGACTACTCTCAAAAGATAGTTGGTATCATCACAATGTGCTCTGTTTTACTTCATTCTATGAAATACCTTAATCAATCAAGAGATACAGTCTAAATATACTCAGGGGAGAAAATATAATCAGCAACATAACAGGAAACATTACTAGAATTAAACGCTGTGTTTAGGGTAACCATTGTCTTAAAAAGGCCAACAACACACGACCATATTAAGAATACACAACCATATCGGCAATGCACAATCATATTGAGAATGCATAATCATATTGAGAATGCATAATCATATCGAGAATGCACAATTATATAGAGAATGAACAACCATCTTAAGATTCCTCCAAGAAAGTGAGTGGTTACAAAAATAGATTTTGATAGCTAAACTGAGTTGCCTAATCCCCCTGGGATTCTGAAAAATATCTTTGTAGTGATGTTTTCAAATGTAAAATGAATTGAAAAGAGTGAAACCAACTAGAAATAGAATCAACAAACATGTAGATCTAAATTACATGAAAATAAAAGAACACCAATCACTGCATTCAAATTATTGAGAGAAACGCCACAACATCAAGATCAGAGGAACATTTGAAGTCAGAAATTCCCAGGTGGTGCTTGATATGTGAAAAGTAACATTGTAATTGAAACAACAGATAATTGGATTATTTTCATTGGACCTCACACAATGAGATTAGTGATCTTCCCATGCACAACTAAAAATGTCCGTCTGCTCATGGCTTAACTTCTCTCTAAAATTTGAATAAACCATCTGATTTTCTTGCATTTCTGTACAATTTAGAGTGTTAACTACATGTCTGTTTCCTTTATTCCTTGCTAATTCCACTCTTTTCCTCTCTATTTTGCATTTCAAAACACATCATTGCAACACTTGTCTTTTGGGAGGATCTGAGATTCCATCAGGAGTTAAGATTACAATTTTGTCTGGAGAATTCCAAGAGTTCCCCAAATTAAGTTGATGCTCAATTGAATGAACTCATGTTTTGATATCTTTCATGTTTTCCCAAGATATTCAAGAGACTATTGACTGTTAGTATCAGCTGCTCTAAACACATCATGAAGACATAAGGAACTGGCTCATTTTAACTAAAATAATTGCATTTGAGAAGGGGAGAGGATGGGGAAGGTTACAAAATATACAATGAAATATAAAATGGTCATTTACCAAAATCTTTATTTTAATAGATTGACAAGGCATTCACATGCAAAATGTCACTATCTGCCATTTGTTACAGACCAAAAATACCGATATACCCATCTCTTATAGTTTGTTTATCATTCATAACAGCACCTTATATGACTAAGGAAACTCCTTAAGACAAGACCATGGTCTCTTATGAAGAGAGATATCTCTTAATATTGTTTGGTCTTTAAAATTGAAAACTAACTTTTTGTTTCCTTTTCAAGCTTTGTAAAAATGAGAGAACACTAAATCATTTCATTTCTTAGCTGTACAATTCAAATTTGAATACCACTTCCATTTTGCCTGGATGAAATTCAAAACATTTTTAATGTTTATGACTAGGTCAATTTGACCTTTCTAAAATCTTAAACAATGCTTAGAGCTTTTATCAGCATTCAGTGAAATCAGCAAAACAATAATATCATGTGACCATAAAACATCTGGGATTAATTTGTCTGTTACCCAGAAAATGGCACCGTTATCATGTCCATTTCACTCAATTTCTCTCTAAAATTTGACTAATCTGCCTAATGTTCTAGCATTTCTTTACAATTTCAAGTATTAACTACATGTCAATCTACTTTATTCCTTGCTGATTTCACTCTTTTCCACTCTATTTTCTATTTCAAAACATGGCTGTAGTGATATAGGCTTACAGGTGGTCGGTGTGACCTTGATACATTGCCAGGTAAATGCAAAGATCTGTCAATAGTTTCTTCTAAACCTCCAAGCAGACTGAATAGATCTTTGTTTATTTATCTCTAGTTTTTCAAACAATTTGATATACCATGAAGTCAATGCTTTTAAAAGTGAAAATATACAAAAGCATTTTTGGCCCCTAGGTGGTACTAAAATATAGTCCAATGAAAGATACTACCTTGTCCATGTTTTGAAACAGAAATAGATGTATATTGTCAACATTCTAAATTGTTTGGAATTGCCAGAAAATCTGGCAGTTGATTTAAGTATTAGAAAATGTAGACTATGAGTATTTCTGTGCTCTTTGATGCTCGTGGAACAGGGAGGGTCACATAGGTTTGATATTAACTAATGGGTAATGCAGTTATATTTAGAGGGGGCATATCCCCCCCCCCTATGATCTCTGAAACGATCAATCATAGGAGAGTGTATTAGGTATCATTGGAAAGGTTTTTCAATTCCCAATATTTTGAACTAGTTGATGAAGAAATTCATATTTTAAGAGCCTTACAAATGTAAGGTAGGGTACTTTTTTACTTATAAAAATCCCAAAATGTGGACCTTGTCAAAATGGGATCAAATATGTGGCCAGACACAGCCTATACATTCATGTCACATCTAACTGGGCAGCCTGATGGGATACACTTGAGTTAATTGAACTAGGATAACCAGATAAAACTGATTTGGTGGGCTACTTTTAAACTAGTCATTATTCAAAATTATGTGAAAAATCTGATTTAATATTAGCCACAGCTGCCACACATTCAACAGCTGATCAAACTACCCTAAAGTTTGTCTCCCCTATTACAAGTTGACAACCCTAATGGGAGTTATCAGAGAACCTTATACAAACAAATACCTGTTCAAATTCTAAAAAATCTAATAAACAGTGATGTAAACAAACAAATCCCAGATAACAAACAACATTTTATTGTAATACAGGAATTCAATGTTTTATGTAACTGGCAAAACACACGAATATAAAGTTATATTTGCAAAGTCCCCTAGAGAGGCGAAGTAGATGTGAAATGTTGTAGAATGATTCATAAAAAGAAATCTGAGAAGCAATTGATTGTTATGAACGATGTATATATTCACAAGAACATAATCATGGTAAATATTTCTCATATTTTGACTTATACCTTAGGTGATACTTTTTTATTTTCAATTATGTACCAGATTTATAAATCTTGCTCAAATATGGAGAACTTTTGCCTAAAAGAATCTTTAGTAAAAAAATAATGAGAACCGCACATAAAATCTATAAAACATGGACAGATTTGTAAAACTTTTGCTACAACGACCAAACCTTTGGTAAAATATGATGTAAATAGAGAGAAACTTCTGAAAACTCAGTACATGTAAAATGTAGGAAGAATGCTCAGTTCAGCTCAGTTCAAATGTATGTTATTTAGCACAATTTAATGCATCACCTCTATGATGAAAGTTAAACATTGCTTCCATTTTTAAACTATATGCAGTGGGTGAATGTTTGATTGTTGATACATTAATACACCTACCCTTTGTTTGTTTGTTTGACAAAGGTGTGTTGTAGCAATAAACGTTTAAACAGTTAGAAACAGTGCTGCCATCTTTAATACAATATTAAAATGAAATGTATGTTGAATGTGAATGTCTGGGTATACCAAGGGCGTTACAATACCCGGGAATTTATCGGTTCGTCCAGTACTTGTTTGTGATAGCGCCCTCTGTAGGTCACTGTGCTTATAGCCTACAGTAATACGGGGTAGGATATCGGGAATTCGGTCAGTTTCTATCCGTCGATTTCGCTATGAATTGAAGCAAGTGTGACCACTTTATCCACTTAAACAATTTGATAATTGATTAAATCTTTAAACAAAATCGATAAACACGTTATACACTTCCTATCTCCTTAGAAATTAGCATGTATTTATGGATTGTGTTTTCGAACAAGGCTCGACCCACCCCAATAGGGAAATCCTTATGCTAATTAGTATGACGTCATATTTTCCTGGGGAATCCTAGATTTCAAGGCCTCAGTCTGTTATTGTGTCAAATGTAGACGCTCTTGGGACGCTCTTTTGCAGACAGAAAATTGACAGATTAGCTTTTAACTTTCAGCTTTGATGTTTAAATATTCTGTATTTCTACCGGACTTCTTGCTGAATATCATATAATGTTATAACTTGATTTGGATCATTGCCTGATTGATCATTCTGAAATTTTGATTGTGATTCATGATTGATTGGCAAGAAAAATAATTCCTATTGTTTTCCAGCGAAGTCAAAATGTTACAGCATGAGTTATAATGTCGAGTTTGCATCATGTTAAATTCTGCTAGTGATTAGAAGTCCATGCACAAGCATACACATAAGAGACAAACACACCCAGGCTCCAGGCCGTGGATGGAAATATAAAACTATTTAAGGCACAAACTGGTATTAATAGACCGATATGTAGTGTCTGCCATGTATTGAAGGTAAACCAATCTGTATTATTAATGTTTCTTCTATCAATACATGGGTTGTGCAATAGAAAAGCAATGGCACAATCAAAAATGTGCATATCAATCGTGAATATCTCTCGGTTCAAAGCTTATTTCCAACAGAATCGTGTCAAAATATGTGTCTGAGTAACAGTTATACATTATAAGATCGCAAACTCTTACCAATTATCAGCCGAATGGCTCATTTTCAACGAAATGTCCTTAAGACAACAGCCCTGGGTCGCGCCTGAGACCAAAAACTACTTCAAATAGCCCTCCCCTAATTATATTGGATAATCACATTTATGCGTGCGCGCGCAGCTCATCCAATGAACGAAACGCCACTTCCCGCTGAAATCACCGGGTATTGATCTTTCCCTTGGGTATACATGAGTCTTAAGATTTGTTACCTTTTTCATTTTTGTTTATGTTGTGCATAAAGTTTTGATTGAAAAATGAATATTTTCATCAAATGAAAAAAAAATCATCAAATGCTATAAAATTTATGTAATAAGAATATTGCCGGTTGTCTAGTATAGATTAAAAAAAAATAAAATCAGATTTTAGAAAATCTCTGAAAATCAGATTTTAGAAAATCTCTGAAAAAGAATTTCTCGATTTTCCTTCCGGTTTCTTTAAATTTAGCTATTCAAGACACCCACTGTACTGTTTGCAGTTAGTGTGATCCAAATATGTCTGAAATCCGAAGTAAAGTATACAACAGACCAACTGGCCAATAGTGCAGTAAGCCTAAAATCCTTGACACACATGCTGTGTGGTGGAATATAAGCAAATATGTGTGTCAGTTCCATTATGAAGGTTCACCTACATATGTGTGTCAGTTCCATTATGAAGGTTCACCTACCTTTTAACAGTTTGCGATGTCTTCCACTGGTTGTTTTGTTGAATTACATTCATATATTCACCAAACATCAGCACATGTACTGTACCCACGATTCCAAATAAATCAGTCTGAAATCAAAGATAGAGAATTATTCTTAGGGGCATTTGTAGGCATTACTTTCTATTTAATCAGCAATAAATTCCAATACAAAACCAACTGAGAGGGAAGCATTAATCGATAAGGCTCACTTGATATGATACATTCGCAATCAAATGCTCTTAAAAACATGTAGCAAATACTCTTTATTTACAAAGGAGATATAAGAGGGCATGAAACAATATAACTCTGGCCACAATGTAAATTGGAAATATTAGAACATTCAGGTAACATCCATGGCTACAAATCAATTTCCCTCCGAAGGCTTCAAAACTCAGACTAATTTGATTATTACCAGATTTTGATTTTTAAAAAAATAGTGCAAATTCATAGAATGACCTGAAATCATCGTGGTAAGCCACATCCTATCCATCTCTATCCTTCTGGAGAGATGCGATCTGCGATGCAACAGAGAGAGATGCTATGAGTATCAGAATGACCTGAAATAGGCAAATCCAAGTTTGCGGAAAAGTGAGAAATGAATTTGGATGACAAATATATCTTTACCTGGTATGTCCATGGTCTATGCGTCATCATTTCGATACACTGGAATCCCGATGTCTTAACTTGAGCCGTGAAAGTAGTTCCAGCATCGAACATCTCCATATCAATACTCCGACCAAAATCGATCAACTTGAGAACTTTGTTTTCTTCAACAAACACGTCATCATCTAGTTGTGGTCTGAAAAAATGGTGTGATCTTTTTTTTACAAATATCTTTTAGGGGGTACTTCAGAGGGGGAGAAACACCAGGGTTCAAAGATGACATACGCTTATAATGTAAATCTGTATTGAGATGACATCGTCGCTGATTGGTCAAAAGTCGACAAACAAATGACGTCATCAATGGCGGTTTCAAAATTTTCGAAATATGCTTCGAATAATATTATCTTCATTTCTGGCGTGTTAACCAATATCATAGCTTCTCATTTCACATCAAGATAAAGAAAGGTGTACGGAATATGCCTATATCAATTATAACATCCCATCGAAGTGTAGTATTTGATAACTAGCCGATGAAAATTCGAACGAACGAAGGTGGTAAGCAAGAGAGGTAATTATGTCTGTCATCTTTAAACTCTGGATCTTTCCCTCCTCTTGGGGTACTTTCAGGGATGGTATCCAAGTGTCAAGAGTTGTGGTCGTCCAACAGTTATGATTTAACAATCAGGGGATGTCCCCTTTTTTAAAACAATTGATAGATAACCTTAAAAATGACAACATAGAAAAACGAGGGCAAAAAATATTGTTAAATTTTTTCTTAACTTATTTTCTACAACTAGTAACTCTTCTACTAAACTTACATGTCTTTGGCCCTTCTCCTCAAAGATATTTAGGAAACATTATTTTTCTTTAAAAAAATTTCTAAATAACTTACATGTCCATAACAAGGAAATTGTCAGGTTTAATGTCCCCATGTATAATATTACATTTATGTAGTTTCTCTATTATATGTAGCAGCTCAATAGTAAGATACATGACCAATGGCTCTTCTATCTGCTTGCCTGCCTTCTTATGTAAGTTCACAAGATTCTACAAATATAGCCAACAATTTAACTAAATGTAGTAATTTCACGAAACTCTCAAAGACAGTATGAGATAATTCAACTCGTACCTAGTAATGTATATTCACAGGGTTCAACAAGTGAACAACTAGTTCCTTCACAAAGTTCTTTTCCAAAGTGCAAAATAAATAAACAAGAAATTTACGGGTAAAGTTTTGATCAATTTGCACCCTATTGATGTAAGAATCTGAGAAGATCACTAATACTGCTTTCTTCACTTTTTGTATTCAATATTTCACTGGCCAATTATCTTTCTAAATCACAAGATAGTACATACCAGTAGAGTCCCTCTCTTATGAAGCCTATTCACAAGTATACTGCCATCATTGTAGAAATAGCCACGGTCAATTGACATCATAGATGGGCACTATAAAATAAAAATCATGAACATTTGATGTTAGGCTATACAGGGGTGAAGCCAGCTTTCAGTCAGGGGGGTGCGATCGCCAAAATATTTTCGGTTTTTAGTCAGGGGGTTGCGATTGTGGCATAAACAAGCCAAAAAATTAAGATTTATCTTGAATTTTACAAAAATTGAGGCAATTTCCTTCAAAATTGAGCTAGAAGCTTCAAATAAAAAGCATTTTAAGGCTCTTTCTCGTGGTTATACTTTTATTAGTTATGGGGTTATGCACCCTTCACACCCCCCCCCCTGGCTATGCCTATGGCTATATATTATTTTGGGTAGACAGTAGACACCCTTATAAATATTGTGTGAGCTAATGAATCTATATTTCCAAAAGTAATTCCAGCAAAGTAGTGACTAAACACTGATCAGTTCTAGATTTTGACCCAAGAAATATTCCTAATATTTTAAATCAAGCATTTTGTTTGGAAATCTGCAGATAAGAAAAGTGAGATTACACCACAAGCTGATGACTTTTTATATTGTTAGTACCTCAGTTGAAATACTCGATTTTGATTGGTCAACGAGCGGTGAATAATTTTAACTGTACACCGCGCAATGCATTGCCGGTGAATAATATTCCCAGCATTCCACTAAAATGACGTCATTATCAGATGATAAAATGGCCACCGCTAGCACTAGCCGTTTCAAAAATGTTGAAGATGAGGATATTATTAGTCTCTTAGAGAGTAAAGACAGTCAAAATACGAAGAAAAATCTAAAACTTTGTACAAAGCTTTTAGTGGACTTCGCCCAGGAGAGTAATTTGACTCCATTGAGTGAACTTACTGCCGTGGCAGATGTAGACGTCTCGAGGGTCTGGATCCAACTTCAAGTCAACTTCAAGGGTCAGAAAAATCTAAGATATTCTTCGGACTAACAAAACAATTATAGACCTCTCCATTCGGTTTACTGTCAAAATTATATCCCTCGACTGTAAACCTCGACCTACGGTCTCGGTTTACAGTCTCGGGATATAATTTTGACAGTAAACCTCTGGAGAGGTCAATAATTGTATATTGTACACATTAACTTGAAAAATCTTAACATGACCCCATCCAAATCAGCTGGATTTTTACACAGTCCATCTTTGTTAGACAAGTGGAGAAAATAACACAGATTTCCACATGTAAAGCAAAATGAAGATAAGTTCATCTTCAATGTACATACCATATCAATGGGGTCATTCAGACGTTGCAGTCGTCTCTGAAGTTCAGTGCAGATATAGAACTCCCATGGACTGCCAGGTTTCTGAAGCTAGAAACACAAGAGACACAATGATAAATATCACTCTGTGTATGGCAAAATAGCTGCCATGTAATTTACCCACCATGGAAAAAAAGTATCATACATTTTATTAACTTTATAAGATTACAACTTTTTTCATAGATTAACAAAAAGCTGTGATTTGTTATATTATCATCCTTTTAGTTGCTTCTCCATATAAATATGTTAATAATAAAAGAATACATGTAGAATGTACCTTGATGACATATTTCTCCTGATGAGTGCTATCGAGGTCTTCGAGATCCTCAGAGTTAAGATTATACACTTGGTAGACTTTGGCGAATGCACCTTCCCCAATACACCGCACAGCTTTGTAACATTCATCTCCTAAATAGAAACATATTTTAAGTTTAGATTATACACTTGATAGACTTTGGCGAATGCACCTTCCCCAATACACCGCACAGCTTTGTAACATTCATCTCCTAAATAGAAACATATTTTAAGTTTAGATTATACACTTGATAGACTTTGGCGAATGCACCTTCCCCAATACACCGCATAGCTTTGTAACACTCATCTCCTAAATAGAAACATAGTTTAAGTTTAGATTATATACACTTGGTAGACTTTGGCGAATGCACCTTCCCCAATGCACCACACAGCGTTGTAACATTATCTCCTAAATAGAAACATACTTTAAGTTTAGATTGAAGTTTAGATTTTCAACAGAGTGGTGTATAATTTTTAAGGGTACAGCTACAGGTTGCTCTAATATTATGAACATCACTGAATTTGTAGTAGCGTTCTTTACTTTCAATTTTGAAAATTGGCTTGCACCCATCTGATTATCTATTTACACCCAGTTGAAAATGATAAAATTGCCATCCACTTGAGTTGAAATCCTAAGGCAAATGGTACATTAAAAAACTCCTAAAAATCTGATTCTTACCTAGACTAAAAGCATGTCCTGCCTTGATAACAGGCAGGTTTTCTGGCACTGCACAATACTCATCATATTTGGTGATTGGTGTTGTAAGCTTCGACAAAAACTTTTTGATCAAATCATCGTCAAAAGGATCTAGGGGATCAATAGCAATTGACATGGATAACATGTTTTCAGTCTTCTTATCCATTTCTGGTGGGATATACATTGATGTATCAATGTGGTGTTGAGGCTCATTGATTTTCTGACGAGTTGTATTAAGTACATCATTGTCTTCTTCAATGGGGTTCTCTTCAACTTCTGGGAGTGCAGGATCTCTGTGATGAGTCAGGTTTGTTGTGTGGTGTGTGCTTGAGAGTGTAGTACCCGATGTTGAGTTGTGTGAGGCAACGCTGCTGCCGTGTGATGAATGTTTCAGATCCTCGTCACTTCGCTCAATAATGGGGCTGGAATTGACACACAATAAAATTAAAGGTGGATTTTGAACTGAACGATTAAAGATTTGTAAATATTCAAATTATAGCTCATAATAATATTAGTGCGAGTCTATGATTTTTTGACTTTGCAACTATCTATTCCATTTAGAATTTCTGTTTCAATTTTGTTATCTCCAACTGACTCATATTATCAAACAATCTTGAAATGTGAACACCTGCTATTCTGAACACCTTTGGCCAATTGGTGTTTGGAATAAACAGGTTTTACTGTAAGTCCAAAAAGCAATGTAAATAATGTAACAATACCTCAAGGGACTGGTCTTTGAGCCAGGTGCGGACATATCAATGTGTGATGTCGCAGCTGGTGTCTGAACTTCATCCTGATGTATAACAAAAGCTGGAGCTTGCGCATTTTCAATTGCAGCTCCACCAATCAGGCTTTCATCAGCCAAAGGAGAACGAAAATCCCCCATCTGGTTTTCTTCTGATGGATCCTTTGCACGGATTTTACTAATAGGTGGCTCTGGGAGGGGGTTGTTTTCATTGCCAGGGTTGAAGGGGGTAGATGCTAGATGGGCCATTCCAGTAAAGTTACAAGTTGAGCTGGAACTGGGGTTGAACGTGAAATCAGATTCCGCAAAGTTTTCAACTCCATCCATTTCTTGGTCATCCTGGAAAAAGTTAAGCCTAAATTTTATTTTTGATAGGCCTTCCAAACATTGAGTTCTCTGTAGCGAAACAATTCAAATTAATCTAATGAAATTATGAATATCCTACTACTAACTATGTTCGTCTATGTGATTTCAAGAGTTCATCAAATTCTGTGTTTAAATCATTTTCACGAATAGAAAAACATTTTTTTAAATAAATGATCATCCATTAGGCCTTTCCAATAAAACTGGATCTTTTTTTGGTGAAAGGAACTTCAGGAACTAAGCTGTATTTACTTGATCATTCAATTCCATTTCTACATTCAAGAATGATATAACTAATAGGTGGAATAATTTACTGGTTTGATGTACATACATGTATAAAGTCTATATATAAAATACATACATGATCTTTCATTTTCTCTTGATATTCATATGTAGGCCCCAAAGCATCAGGGATCTCTGGGTCATGGAAAATCTGAAACGCACCCCCTAGTGGCGCCCTCTGTCCTTGTTTCGCTAGCCCTGAAGGGGGGCAATTCTCTATATCATCCATGGGATTTGAGATTTGGGCAGCTTCGGGCGGAGGCTGCTCTTGGGCTGTTTCATCGTAGATTTTGAAAGGGGCTGAACCAGCTCCAGCTAGACTGAATGGTCCTTTATCTGGAAAAGCAGTTCATTGACATGAGATTTTATCTCATCAAAGAAACCCCCTATTTCCAAGGGGCTTGAGGCATGAAACCAAACACACATTTTGGTACATCGTGAATGCATCATTTGTCATTTTGTGTATCATGATATCAATCAGATTCTTGCAGAAAACAGTGCATTACTTTAATTCAACTTTTTTTCAGAGAAAAAAAATGTATTGAACTTTGATCATCTATTTATTCTTTGCTTACTGTACTCAATTCCAGAGTTTAATTTATATAAAACATTAAAACCAACTAGTTTCAACAAGGAAGCTTACTGCAAGTGATATCCTCAAACTCAGCTTCAAATGAATCTTTTGCAGCAGTTTCATAGTTTGTCAGTCCGAGTCCAAGGTCATTATCAATATTCAAGGACTTGTTCCACATCCCCATGACAACATGCATTGCTTCCTTGGTGTTTACAGTAGGACTTGGTGCAGTCAGACCCTGAAAATAAAACAACATCTCCATGACGATGTGAAGTTTGCAGTCAGACTGTGAAACAACATCTCCATGACAATATGTAACTTCTTCTTTGGTACAGTATGGCTCTGAAGTACATAAATAACTTGGTGGAATACATTTTTATGTGAAAAAGCATTTACTAAAATAATCATAATCACAGGTAGGTTTAATCTACAGTGAGCCCAATTGTCATTGTTGGGGAAGGGATACTATCTGCCTCCATAAATGGCTTAAGGCAGATACCTCATGGTCAATCATTGTGATATGAAAACCAAAAGTCATAATTTGAGACAAACTGTAATATCAAAATGTAACTTACCCCTCGTGAGGGTGTCATCTTGAAGGGGTTAAATGAACTATCTGGGGTTGGTCCTTGGGAAAGTGATGTCCCTGATGATGTCACGCTATTTCTAATGCCTGATTGGTTGCTGAGATTTGGTGTAAATTTACTGCTGTTTAACGTCACATTTGATTTATTCTGAGGTGTTGGGTTGGTGCTTGTACTGTTTATACTGTCATTGAATAGGAGTTGTTTAGAAATATGTGGGTCTCGGCTGAAATGAAAGACAGTAACAGTCAGCACGAAAAGTTCATTACAACATACCATCGAAAATCATTGGAAATATTAATTAAAATGATAAAAGTTTTTGGTGCAAGTTTTACTTCTCCTTGAACTTAAATGGTGAGCAAGTCTATATATACATAGGTATATTATTGGACAGACAGATTTTGAAAAAGAAAATTGAAGGAAAAACAATGTAATAATTGAGACAAAAAGCAAACAGGCTTGTAGCAAACATTTTAAATTGGGTAGAAGTATCAGAAAATTAGGCACAAAATATGTGGAATAAATAGGAAATGAGAAGACAAAAGATATTTTTGGAAAATTTTCTCTTACCAAGAAGAAACTTCAACCAAACTATGGGGCTGTAACAAAGCAGCAGTGTTGTCAAGGCGACTGTTGTCAGGTACATATTGTTGCTGTTTTTGTAACTGTTTTTGTTGCATTTGTTTCTGGTGAATTTGTTGTTGTTGTAAACGTTGGGCCTCTAGAGCTTCTATTTTCTGTTGTTGAGCTAGTCTAGAAATTGGAAAAGAATCACTCTAGGATTAAAGGGGAAAACTCAGTTAATTGCTACACCCGGGTGTCTTATGTAACACGTGAAATGCCTACCAGATAACAAACAGCCAATCAGCTGTCAGCAGATGATGTGGCTTAGCTGTAGTGGGGTATTTATAAACGTAAGCACAAGGCATATTGCTGCTTTGTTTACATGTACCTCTGACCTGAGAGCATTGCAGACTATTGGTCAATTTGAAATTAAATCCACATCCAACTGCTCATATTTAATGAGACCTTTAAAATATTTCTTTTCAAGTTTGCTTGAAATGTACTACATAATGCGTGAATATGATTTCATATTTATATTCGCTATGGTTTTATACATGACTGTAGCAAATTAGGGTCTTAGATACTTCCTAGAAATCAAGATATTGGCAAAATCAAAGGAAAATTACTGGTTTCAGTGATTCAAACATTTTCAACAGACATAATTGGCTTTGCTTGGCTGTTCCATCTCCCTTTTATACCCGGTTTTCCTCTTTAAGACAAAGCATTTCAGGAGTCTGGACAAAAAAACACATTTTTCTTGGGAATCAAAGGCTCAGACCCCCACTTGTTCTATCCAACATGTTTTATACAACATTTAATTAATTAATATCTCCAACTCAATATATTTCATGTTTGAATAACAAAACCTGGCTTTGTACCCTCCACTTTACGAATAGTAATATACCACAAAGAATGATATATTGGAATCTGATCACCCTCCCTCTTCAAGTGACCCATCTCTTTGCTGAGAGCTTTTTATAGTTATCTTTTCCAGAAATATTCAAATGTAGTACAACAGCTGCACCTTTCATTTTCTAACAGCTGCTGCTGCTGTTGCATCTGTAGCCTTTGTTGTTCTAGGAACTGCTGTTGTTTCAATTCCATTTGTTGTTGTTGTAATCGGATTGCTTCTTGTTGTTCTCGGAGTTGTTTCTGTAGCAACTGCATTTCTTCTCTTTCAGCTGAAGAGTACAGAATATGATATTAGTAATACATTGTAGTACATTATTCATATACACCACGGTACATTATAATGCATTGTAGTACATTGTTATGCATCAGGGTACATTAAAATACATTGTAGTATATTATTCATATACACCACGGTACATTATAATACATTGTAGTACATTATTCATATACACCACAGTACATTATAATGCATTGTAGTACATTGTTATGCATCAGGGTACATTATAATACATTGTAGTACATTATTCATATACACCACGGTACATTATAATACATTGTAGTACATTATTCATATACACCACAGTACATTATAATGCATTGTAGTACATTATTCATATACACCACAGTACATTATTATGCATTGTAGTACATTATTCATATACACCACAGTACATTATAATGCATTGTAGTACATTATTCATTTATTATACACCATGGTACATTTTATGTATTTTCCTACATTGCAGTATATCATATTAACATCATAATTGACTACATTATTGACATTATTTTACATCACAAAACATTTATTATGATTCATCACTGTACATTATAACTATTATACATCACAATACTAATATTATACTATACATCATAATATACAGATTATAGTAGAATTATCTCCATACAAACCTTTCATTTGCTTCTCTTTTTGCTTTGCTTTCCATCTCGCAGCTCGGAGCTCTTCAAATGAAAACTCATCATTCCCGGCATAGATTTTACTCTTACAATACATAGGTCTCATTCCAGGGTCGTTAATGACGGCTTTTTGGATATTTTGCATCACATCTGGTTGAACCTTGTTAGGCTTACGTGCGCTAAACAAAGAACAAAGTACGATGAGATTTATTGGAATAATATTAATTACTTGTTTTGAGAGATGTTAGAATACCATAATAAGTTACATATAAAGTCACATTTAAACCGATCGAAAATATCATTAAAATGTCAATATCAGATTCTATCTACCTTAAAACTTGTGTGTTGACCTCAGGACCTTTCCTTGGAGTCCTACAATGAAAAAAATATGTCATTCAACACAAAAAATAACCCAGAAGAAAACAATTTCTCTCAATCTACAATAATAACTCATATTGAGATGGAAATTCATTCAATCATCACAATTGGAAAGTATCCCAAAATTAAATATGAATACAGAGAATGTACTATAATCTAATACTTACATCATAGGCTGGTCAGCGTCATCATCAACGTGAACACTAAAGGCAGGCTTATTGTACTCATTGACTTTATTGATTGGAACATTGCTTGTCGTCTTCTGGGACATCTATAACATATGATTTGATTATTACACTTGATTATTAATGAATTGATAATTTGAATTGCTATGATTACTTGTCTCGATTATCATCAAAAATTGCTTTAAACTGGATCACTAAGGTCTGGAATTATTTTTTCAATCATACCTTGGCTTTATTCCATTGTGACGGGGTTTGTATATTTTCTCTGTTGGATTTACTCTGGGTGGGGACACTGACATATTCTCCAGTCTGTGGGGGTAGGGAGTTCCCTGAGGTGCTGTTCTCATCATTAAAGATGGTGAATCCTGCCCCAGTGTTGGATTGGTGGAGAGGCTTCGACTGTCGACCCAACCCTTTGTTACCTAAGAAATAAAAAAATAAGATATTAGTACTTTACAAATAGGAAATAAAGCTAAAATTGAAATTGAATTTAAAGATGTAACTTTGGGGCAGAAAATCCAAAATGGCCACTATAACATTTACCTGTCATACCCAAAAGTGAGATCAGATCGCTGAATTTGAATCAGCCTTATTTTTCCTAACATTACATAAGATGTCAAAATATCACAAAACATATACATGAAAATTGACCACTTTGCTAGGATAACAAAGTGAAGCCAATGTAACAGGTGAAAACACCAAGGTTTGTCACCAATATGGTGGCTATTATAACATTATATCTCATAAAAACAGTCAATTTTATCAAATGACAAAATCTGAAAAATATTTTTAGCTTAAATGTTCTGAGCAATTTTATTGAGAGCACTCACCAAGCTTGGCTCCTCCAACCCTGTTAGGTCCAATCACCTGATGCTTGCCTTTCCCCTTTAATGCTGTGAGGGCATTTCTTTGGTCCTGTTCCATGGGTTCTTCTACGGGATCACCTGCCCCCTCTATGACTGAACGAGAAACACGTGCTTGAAATTCTCTGAAAATGCAGATTCCACATTGGCTGTTAGGTGTACCTCGTTTCAGGAACAAAAAATCTCAGTTTAAATAGTAACATTATTTTAGATAGGCTGATGTAACTCAGAAAAATAACAAATTTTGGAAAATCATTTTTACCACAAATGAAACCCCAATCTACCTTACATGGGCACTTATCAAAGTGAAAGGAAAGAAAGACTTTTTCAAATTTCATAAGCACACTGGGACATAATACAATGATTATGGTGTATTTAGAATAAAATGTTGACCTGAACACAGTTGATATCCATAGAATATTCCTCTAATATTTATAAGAACAATTTTTCTTGACTCACACATTTGTAAAATGCTGTTCATTAGGGACATATGCATCAAATTTAATTAAAAGATTGATTTATAAAGTCGAAACATGGAGATTTGCAAGTCTTTACCAAACGTGTCCTAAACCCTTACCAGATCTTGGAACGAGTCTGCTCTTGCATCTGTAAAAATTTCAAGTTGTACTGAGTTTTTACTTGAATTTTTATGGAAAAGACTCATGTGGAGCTAGCCCACCTACTGAGACATACACATGCACACCAATCAGCACAACACAATGAAAAATACTTACTCATGTTGTTTAACCAGCCTCTGTAGAGGTTCAGCTTGTAGTTCAAATCCCTTTAGGTAGATCTCATTAGCCTTTCGTGAGTTGCCCAGTTTCTCATAATGATCAGCCCATGCCTTGTAAAACAGCGCCACCTTTGAGCCAAGACTCTGACTAAACATATGGTTGAAGATATCCAGTGGGTCATTGCACAATGATGCCTGAAAAATATTAGCCAAGTATGGTTATACGGGCTGCAATCAAAGAATTTGAGCAAATTCTTATAATGAATAGGCACAGAACATGTTACCTTTAGTTTATCCTTATACCCCTTATCCACCATGATACAAATATAACTTACCAGTTTAATCCAGGTTTCACAGTAACGTTCATCATTCTTGTACCTGGCGTCATCTTTGAATGTAAGGACTGCAGTCTCCAATAGATGCTGCAAGTTACCATCCTTCCCTCCTATTAAATAGATTTCCACTCAATTTACGTCAGATTTTAACACAGGGGATGTACCAATTTTGAGTTGAAGATGTATACGCAAGCTATGATACAATGCGAGTAACGGGAGACTAGAATAAAATCTTCAAGATGGTGAAGAGGATTCATTTCACTTACTCTCAGCCTCATTATATCTTACTACCATGGCCCCACATGTTGAGCATTTAGTGCCTTTGTTGTTTAAATATGAATACCATAGGGATCACATTTAGTAATAAAAGGTCACCCCAAGTCAGAATTATATATTAAGTTCCTTTTGGGATGATCTGATATCCTTCCTTATCCTACACTTAGTGTACTAAATGTATAATAACATTAAAAAATAAATTTGATATTTATTGGCAAAATGAATATCTGGAGGATATCGTAACGATATACTCCGGGCGGAGGATATCGTGACAATATACTCCGGAAAACCCAATATGCGGAGGATATTGTGACGATATACTCCGCTTGTTGATTTCCCGCCAAATTGACTCTATTTGGCATGGAATTCATTTTGCAATGATATTATACATTTAGTACACTCCTTGTAAGTGTAGGATAATAAGAACATCCTATGATTTTTTTCAGAATATAATTTTAATCTACTCGGTGATATTGATATATGCACTCGTTCGCTTCGCTCTCTCGTGCAGATATCAATATCACCTCGTAGATAAAAATGATATTCCTCAAAATCATAGGATATCCTATAATTAAGATACACCAAATAAACAAACCCTCTCTAGGTTTAATGTCTATTTATGGACGTACTAACCTTTGGGAAAGTTCTGTTCAGTCCATTTGATGTATTTATGCCAAGTGTCATATGGATCATCCCCTTGATACATTCTTATCTCTGTCTCGAACATCCTAAAAATTAACGATAAATTAGTAAAATTTTATAGACCAGAAGAAAAGTTAAGTTTTTTCAATCCTTAGGATGTCTGTCACTACACCCGCTATGGCTGAGTGGTTCACGACTCGTATAAAAGGCTGTGGTGTGTACCTGTATGTCTGTGTACCTGTGCACATAAAAGAACACAGGGCTCCTCCAAGGAGGGGTTTCTGGCTCTATCTTCGAGTGTAAAATACGTAAAATACGGAATATACCAATGAGGTATTGCTCGCCAGATATGGCGGTAACCAGGATATAATAATAATAACTAGATTTGTAAATTGAACAAAGTTCAATTTAAGACTCCAGATTGATTTACTTGAGTAAAGAGCTGAGTAAGTAACTGAGTAGGAAGCTGAGTAAGTAGATGATTAAGTAATTGAGTAAGTAGCTGAGTAGGTAGCTGAGTAAGCAGCTGAGCAGGTAGCTGAGTAAGTAGCTGAGTAGGTAGCGGAGTAAGTAGCTGAGTAGGTAGCTGAGTAGGTAGCTAAGTAGGTAGCCGAGTAGGTAAGTAGGTAGGTAAGAAGGAATTTTTGACCGGAAGTCAGATTGAAATTTGGTTTGCAGATTTGGATTCCTGAGAAAATTCTACCCTTAATTCATAACTCATTTTATTTTGACCTACTTTACGGACACCATATCTCAAAAGTGGGTCAAAATACTCTCTGACGGCAAAAGGCTAACACTATAAGCACACTGTTTCCTACCTGTATACAAAATTTTGAAGCAAATCCTAAAAGTGTAGTGCCAGAATCGCAAAAATAAGGAAAAACTATGAATTTGACCTAAATTTTGACCTAGGCATTTTGGTGTCCAAATATTGAAACTAGGTAGCTTTTGAGGTCCCCTTCTTTTATAGGAATTCATTATCTTAAGCTGTACTCAATCTATATCTCGTATTTACACTTCAAAAAAATCTTTTTTCCTTGACTTTCTATCAGGATAACATCAGATCGATTTTTCTCGAAATTTCAAAACGCAATAACTTTCAAACCGGAAGTCGGATCGAAATTTAATTTAAAGATTCGGATTCCTGACAAAATTCTACCCCTTATTCATAACTCATACGTTAAATTTGGCGAATTTTTATTTTGACCTACTTTTGGACACGCCATAACTTTGGAACCGGAAGTCGGATCGAAATTTGATTTGCAGATTCGGATTCCTGAGAAAATTCTACTCTTAATTCATAACTCATATGTAAAATTTGGAGAATTTTTTATTTTGACCTACTTTTCGGACACCATATCTCAAAAGTGGGTCAAAATACTCTTTGACGGCAAAAGGCTTACACTATTAGCCCACTCTTTGCTACCTGTATACAAAATTTTGAAGCAAATCCTAAAAGTGTAGTGCCAGAATCGCAAAAATAAGGAAAAACTATGAATTTGACCTAGATTTTGACCTAGGCATTTTGGTGTCCAAATATTGAAACTAGGTAGCTTTTGAGGTCCCCTTCTTTTATAGGAATTCATTATCTTAAGCTGTACTCAATCTATATCTCGTATTTTACACTTCAAAAAAATCTTTTTTCCTTGACTTTCTATCAGGATATCAACAGATCGATTTTTCTCAAAATTTTCAAAACGCCATAACTTTCGAACCGGATGTCGGATCGGAATCTGGTTTGCAGATTCAGATTCCTGAGAAAATTCTACACTTATTTCATAGCTCATATGTTAAATTTGGTTAACTTTTTAGTTTGACCTACATTTCGGACACCATATCTCAAAAGTGGGTCAAAATACTTTCTGACGGCAAAAGGCTATCACTATAAGCACACTCTTTGCTACCTGTATACAAAATTTTGAAGCAAATTATTTAAGTGTAGTGTCAGAATCGTAAAAATAAGAAAATGCTATAAATTTGACCTAGATTTTGACCTAGGCATTTTGCTGTCCAAATTTTAAAGCTAGATAGCCTTCGAGGTCCCCTTCTTTTATAGGCTTTCATTATGTTAAGCTGTACTCAGTCTATATCTCATATTTTACACTTCGAAGAAGTCTTTTTCCCCATTGACTTAACATGGGGCACCAAATTTAGCGATTTTGAGATTTCAAAATGCTATAACTTCTGAACCGGTAGTCGGATCGAAATTTTGTTTGCAGATTCGGATTCCTGAGATAATTCTACACTTATTTGATAATTCACACGTTGAATTTGGAGAACTTTTTATGTTCTGACCTACTTTTCGGACGTCATTTCTCAAAATCGGTAAAAGTAATCAAAAAACGATTTGCCTTACGGAATTAGCTTTTTTTCTAAGGAACATGATGAAAAAAACCCGGAGCAAAAATACCGAAGGACGACTGAGAAAACTTGTAAAATAGTGAAAACCCACGATTTGACCTAGTTCTTGACCTTTGACCTAGATAAACATTTGACCTAATTTCCCAGAAACTAGGTTTCATTACCTAGTTGACTATGTTAGCAGATCTAAGTAAGTCCTTTTAGTTGCTGAGAAAAAGTGTTCGGAAAGAAAGAAAGAAAGAAAGAATAATAGGAAAACTGGCAAAAGCAATAGACTCCAGATTTTCATCTGGAGTCTAATAATACAGTAAAATTTTAAATGTTTGTGAGTACTTTGAATTTAAAAAATAAGCAATCAAATGACCATATTGAAACAGTTTATGTAAAAATAGAAACATTTATATTTATCCTCACTTTTGTATATTTCAGATAGTAATGTATAATGTGCAGCAAAGCTGTGGCCTTTTGTAATTTAGGAAGTTTCAGCCATGTTAATTTTTCCGAAAATAACATGGCAGAGAAGTATCAAAATATAAGAGGACACAGATATGATAGCTAAACTACAAAACAAACTAAAATATACAAAAGTTAGGATAAATATAAATGTTTCTATTTTTACATAAACTGTTTCAATATGGTCATTTGATTGCTTTTTTAAATTCAAAGTAGTCACAAACATTTCTGTTTTGACTGTAAAAGTGATTGAGTGTTACAACGTTGAATCGTGGATTTGAAAAATTGGAAATGGAGAAGAGTTTTGGGCCTTCACTCTTCATTCTATAAGTTTAGAACAGCTGGTCCTGATTGTGGATGTGAGTCGAAACATTGTCTACATAGAGTCAAGCGGTTTACAAAACGAACTGGCCAGCATCTGTGAATCCAACTCTGAGTCAATTGACAGGCATGTCAGTTCACGCCATGGGCTTTCAACTCTAATTTAAAACCCATGTTCAGCTAAGACACAAGCTGCAAATCAATTGACACATATTTTAAAGCGACTAAGATGAATAAAGATCAATTTACTTACTGCTTTTGTTCTTTAATATTCTTATCTCCAAGTGGCTGCAATGCAGCATTCAAATTTGAACATTTTCGACCAGTTTTGAGAGGCTGCACATTTTCCTTACTCAGCTCCCACTCGTCATTAGCCATATTAACATCCATTGCTGACTCCATGCCTTCTTTATAGTTACACAAAACTATTTATATAATGTGAGTACACGATCTACAATATTTATTGTAGATTTTGATGATCAAAACTCGATGCAGAAAATAAACATTCGTTTTGAAATTTTGAATCAACCGCTCTGCGCATGCTCAAAACATCGTTAGTTTCCGGATAGCAAAATGTATTTTCTTTATTTGACTAAAGTTTGGCTTATCATAGTTTACATTTGAGTCAAAACATTGCATTATTGCTTAATTGTGTCAAAGGAACTCTACAACTTGGATAAAAAAAGCAGGGCATTGATTGAATATGGTAAAGAAGTTAGGAGTCACGGAAATTACCGAAACGGAAAAATCCAAGATGGCAGCGCCCACAAAATTTGAAAACTTTTTGAAAATTCTCCAAAATGAGGCATTATTGCTCGACTGGATGGCCTGGGTCATGATTGCTACAAGTTTTATCGTCATAATTTTACTGTTGTTTGTTTCGGCGCCATATGGAAGATATACAGCTACTGGAAACAAATATTTGACTCTTCTCAAGGTTCCAGTCAAAGTAGCTTGGTTTTTACAAGAGCTTCCATCCTTTACTGTGCCATTAGGACTAGTTATATTTACTGAATCAACTCAGTTTAAGAATTTATCCAACAAAATTCTCATCACGATGTTCTTATTGCATTATTCTCAACGGTAAGTTGATGGCAGGGGATCAGTGATCCAAATTCCACTCGTATGAATCTGAATCAGATTCTGATTATAACTTCTAGTCATAATAAGAAGCATTAATTACAACCTTTTATCAAAACGTTCAAAATTTATTTCCATTATAAGCGTTATTAGGCGGGATTTTGAGCAATGGGATTCGGACGACTGGGATTCAGACCATTCGGATTTGGACGATTGGGATTTGGACATTGGGATTAGCATTAGGATCCGGATCAATTGGATTCGCACCATGGGATTCTGACCAATGGTGTGTCCTTGATGTCACAATTATCTTGTTTCGATTTAATGTTATATGCCCTGACCAGTGAATGACCAGTGAAGAGCATAGTGTAACATGCCAGATGAGAACATAAACCCCTCATATCCAGGCAGTCAGGTGCTCTACTGACTGAGTTACCTAAACTTAGTTGCAACTTGCTATCTAGGAGTCTTGGAATACTATTGCATGGGTGTCCGAAGTGGCTGTGTTGGGTTTGAAGCATATTTGGCCAAGGGGGGGTTCAGTTTTCAAAAATTTCCAGGGGGGTTCACATTTGACAATTTTGGCCCAAATATGGCTAAAATCACTTGGGAAGTGCTCAAAAGAATTTTTGGCCAGGGGGGGGGGTTTGCCTGAACCCTGTGTACCCCCCTGGCTATGGGCCTGAGAGGAGAAAGAAGAACTATATGCTCCAGTGAAAGTGGTTGAGAAGCTAGGCTTCTAGTGCAAGCTATGACTGTGGACACTTCTTTCGATGTAAACACACCCCATGGAAAAACCATGGTGATACCCGAGCATTGTCTACTTTTAGATGAAAAATGACTTGCATCTAAATCCAAAGTTGCAATGGTTCCTCAAACGGATCCCAAGGTCATTTCAATATCCTCTGAGTTAGACAGTCATTGAGTTATTTTAGTTTGGTAGATGAAAGATCTCAAGATATGGATGGCATTTCCACTTGTAATAATTCACATCATAACCTCATATCTATGATATCAATATGGAATTTTGAATTTAATATTGAGTAAAGTTATCACGTAGAGTCACAAAAATAGTTCAACCCCTTTACGATGTGCTTCTATGTGGTATACATTGGTATAAATACAGCAAAAATGAACATCTATGTTTCAAGTCACTTTTTTATTCCCTTCATTTTATATCTTACAATTACAGTATAATAGTACATGTTTCATTATCAGGGAATATTGAAAGTGGTTAATGATATGAGGGCGCAAGCATTTCAAATTTATAATCACAAATTTTACAAAGTATCCATTATCTTAAGCTGCATTTAGGGTTGCTCTATGTGTCTGGAGATCCAGAAACAATTTAGCAGTCATAAATGCCTCAAATAATGTTTTACTATTGCACAATTTGCTTTATATTAATCAAAGTAGAAAGAATAGTTATCTATGCCCCTTATGTTTCAAGTCACACATGGTCTTGTATCATTGCTACAAATTGATTTGTAAATATCTGACTCATAACTATAGTTCTGTTATTCCTGAGATGTAAACATAATTTGCATATTTCAAAATTTCTCTGCTTCCGTAGGAGGAGCCATGTTTAAACAAAGACAACCTGTCTTTGTTTACAGTTGATCCTCAGTGTACTATATAAAAGTTGTCAATATAATGTCAAATTGAGCCCAAAATACAAAATGATGTGAAATGATTTTCAAAAGGGTATCTATCAATGAATGCAAGTACATCAATTTTGTTCCTTTCAGAGCCTTGCTGTTCCCTTTCCTTATCCGTGGCGGTAAGCCAACACCATTCTTGCCATTTTTCTTAGCGTTTGTCTTCTGTGCGTACAATGGTTACATGCAGGGTAGGATGTTGACGCAGTTCCAAGTCTACTCAGATACATACTTTACAGATCTCAATGTGTGCATTGGTAAGTGTAGTGAAGTGCTGGTTAGTGTAGTGAAGTAGATTGTTGCGTAGTCTAGAGTTGTTTAGTATAGTGATTTGTAGTAGTATTATGTAGTATCATTATACTACATTACACTATTATAGTGTAGTGTAGTATAGTGCTGCATATTATAGTGTTAAGAAGAAGTGTACCTTTATTTGACATTTTACATGGTTACATTGATCCTTCTAATCTCTCAACATTTCACTGCCTTGTTATTTTTATGTAAGAGACAATTTATAATTTCAGGTGTAGCAATGTTTATTATGGGGATGTCAATCAATCTGCATTCCGACCATGTCTTGAGAAATCTGAGAGCACCAGGAGAGACAGGATATAAAATTCCAAGAGGTATGTCTATTCTCAGATGCCTTGAAATAAAGATAGCTAGGCCTACCTTGTCAATTTTCTGGTACAAATTTGCTTTTGTCAGGTAGTTGTGTATTAAAACATTTAGGCTTGTACAGGTACTGTACAAGATGCATAACCTAGAATGTAATGTTTGAAATTACAAAAACCACCATTGATCAACAGATTTTTTTTAAAAAACATACCGGTAGGCTGTTAGTAATGAAGCATTGTCGGACTAATTAGAACAGTAAAATCTAGCCAATAAAAGACATTTGAAAATATTAAATAGATCAGTGATCACTCACTTCAAAACTTTTACATTTTGCCATGAAAATAAGTAACATTTGAAGAAAATAGATTAATTGAACATTTTTCTCGGAAAGGTTTTAATTGCGACAGCGTAATAACAGTCACATACTTTGTCATGTTTGTTCCAGGTGGAATGTTTGAATATGTCTCGGGAGCTAACTTTTTCGGAGAAATCTTGGAATGGTCTGGATTTGCACTTGCATGTCTCAATCTCCAGGCTGCAGCATTTGCTCTATTCACCTTCTGTAACTTGGTACCTAGAGCATACTCCCACCACCAGTAAGTAATCAATAATCATGCTGATTTCACCCTCTGTAACTTGGTACTTAGAGCATACTCCAATGATCAGTGAGTAATCATGCTGATTTCACCCTCTGTAACTTGGTACTTAGAGCATACTCCCATGATCAGTGAGTAAGCTTGCTGATTTCACCTTCTGTAACTTGGTACCTAGAGCATACTCCCACCACCAGTAAGTAATCAATAGTCATGCTGATTTCACCCTCTGTAACTTGGTACTTAGAGCATACTCCAATGATCAGTGAGTAATCATGCTGATTTCACCCTCTGTAACTTGGTACTTAGAGCATACTCCCATGATCAGTGAGTAAGCTTGCTGATTTCACCTTCTGTAACTTGGTACCTAGAGCATACTCCCACCACCAGTAAGTAATCAATAATCATGCTGATTTCACCCTCTGTAACTTGGTACTTAGAGCATACTCCCATGATCAGTGAGTAAGCTTGCTGATTTCACCTTCTGTAATTTGGTACTTAGAGCATACTCCCATGATCAGTAAGTAATCATGCTGATTTCACCTTCTTTAACTTGGTACTTAAAGCATACTCCCATGATCAGTGAGTAAGCTTGCTGATTTCACCTTCTGTAACTTGGTAGTTAGAGCATACTCCCATGATCAGTGAGTAAGCTTGCTGATTTCACCTTCTGTAACTTGGTACTTAGAGCATACTCCCATGATCAGTGAGTAAGCTTGCTGATTTCACCTTCTGTAACTTGGTACTTAGAGCATACTCCCATGATCAGTAAGAAAAGCTGATTCGACCCTCTGTAAATAGTCAAGCTTATTTATGGTAGTGATATTTCCTCTTGAAAATTCCTTGTTTGACAATTAAAGATTCTCGCAATCTTTATCCAATCAGCGTTTGCGAGTGTGTCGGCTCACGTATAAAAGGCGAATCCAACTCAAATCCATGCAGGGGTGTATGAGGTACTCGAATAGGAAAGAGCTCGTGAAATCTGAATTTATATGCACATGGTCAATGTTTACACATGTTTGGAGTTATTGAAGAAAATGTGATATGGGTGTGGTTCCGAATTTGAAGTCATTGCTGGAAAATATGATTTTAATACGTGAAATTATATCTATAAATACAGCACTAAAAATAACAGTACACATGAAGTACATGTATGATTGTGTTCAGAAATGTTTGAAACCCTTACGGAAAATTCTGTCTGCATTTTGTCACCATTGCTCTTTCTTCCCGCATTCTAGTGCTGTTTGAATGAATATATTAATTAATGTATTTCTAACTAAAATATATCACATTTTTTTATAAACCACAAACATTTAGATCATAAAAAATTATTCAATACTTGAGTGAGCACGATATGCAAGGGTTACTATGTTGACACTATCAGTTATCACACGTTTCAGCATGTGATACAGGAAATATTCCACGAAAGGTAATACTGTATCATCCACGAAAGCGAAGCTTGAGTGGTGATACATTGTTACCCGAGTGGAATATTTCCTGTATCACATAAGCTGAAACGTGTGATGACGATTTTATCACATGTCTAAGAATTTTGAAGCATTTTGATTTGGTCAGTTATGATTGTGTTCAGTACCCCGTGTACTTCTGGTAACTATTATAATTTTTGATTTCGCTTTGAAACAATATGACGTCATACCGTTGTATTTGTACTTGTTTGTGAAATGGTATGACGTCATATTGTTTTCCTTAGCTAGAAGTGATATAATCAGTGACGTCACATCGTTGCTATTGATCATCACTGGTTGCCTCTAGTAACGTGTGAGACGGCCGTGTGAGACGGGAAAACTCACACGGTAATCAACCAATCAGATTACTGGAATTTTACAGAGCATGTGATAAAGTAAATGACCACTGATATTGTGTTAGCAAATATGTATTAGCAGAATACGCTGTGTGCATGGACTAACACCCCTCACTTTCATAGTGAAGTGACTAATTGGTTTATGTTTACGTTTTAATGTGTTTTGGGTTCCTTGTTACAGCAAGGGGGGCCAGTAAAGTAGACTAACATGTTTGCATGGCAAATTTTGATCGAATATGTGAGACACTTTAATTGAATTTAATTAAATTGATTTTTTCTTATTTCAGATGGTACCTACAAAAGTTTGAGGATTATCCAAAGCAAAGGAAAGCAGTGATCCCATACATTTTATAGATATCTCTGGATACTCATACCATCTAAAGATGTTGCTGGATAGCATGCCATGACAATCTGTGTTTCAAAAATAGTTAATATATGTATGGAAAAGAGAAGAAAAAGCAATGACTAAAACAATTGATTAGGCTAGTGAACCTTTGGAAAGAAAGACTTACTTAAAGATTGAATAACTATTAGCATTTGTTATAAATATTGATGCTTATGGCGATTTTTAAATAAATTTTCCAACTAATCTGAATCAAAAACTTTGTACTTTAAACGTGCAGATGCTATACTTAGAACAAGTACAGGGTGTGCAATTCCTTGCTTGATGCTAAACATTTGTGCAATGATTACAAGTTTTATTTTGTGTTCTAAATGTACAAAGAAGCTATTTGTTAAGATTTTGGAAAATTGTTAAACTTTCCAAAACCAGAAGTCAAATTATGGAGAAATACATGTATGGTAATAATGGGCAATTTCTATCTGGTTAAAGGACCACGAGTTGTTTGTAGAATGAATCTCTGGAGCTTTTTCATGCATTTCGCTTGTGTTTTTCATCTAAAAACATCAATACACTTTAAGACATTTTATTGACTATAAGATTACACCATAACATCCTAAAAAATACTTCTCATTATCTATGGATAAACACCCAGGTATTGTTATTTTTCAAACTTCAGAGGGCTGGGAATCATTATTACTATCGATTTTGAATGATATTATATTAATGCTGTTTTAAATAGGTTTCATGTATGCCAATAATTTCTCAAATTGTGTAAATGGTACGCATTCCTTAATCTCTAGAATTTTCTCTTTGAGGAATTTCCCATAGTAATCCAATGGTATAGTTCCAAGCAGATTTTGAGATAACAGGAAAGTTAATCATTAATACACACCTTATTGGGTTGTTTAGGTTTATATCACTAGCCAGTAGCCGGTGTTAATCCATAGATAATCCTTGAAAATGAGAAATATTTTTTTAGGATTATATGGTGCTATCTTATAATCAATAAAATGTTTTAAAGTGTATTGATGTTTTTAGATGAAAAACACAAGCGAAATGCATGAAAAAGTATCCCAGATTCATTCTACAAACAACTCGTGGTCCTTTGTATTTGTGCCATAATTCAAGTTTTAATTTGGTGACAGGTTGATTAGATTTGTCTCAGTGCTCAATATTAAAAGGCCATGTACAGTTACACAATGTGTATGAGTATTTGAATAAATTACATGAAGTCAATTACACTCCACCTCAGAATTCAATTTCATTATAATTTTCTTTTTGAAATCCAAATATTATTATTACAGTTCATCAGTCATGTAGTAAAATAAACTTTGAAATGAAACATATTTAAACTAGACAACAGCAACACCAAAGCGTAGCAAATCCCATCAAACAGCCATGGCTGGCATTTTTACAAACAAAGTATATAGCAAAAATGGCAGCCATTTTTCAAAATGGTCACCTTCTACCAAAAGTGTCATTAGACACTGCCATGCTTAAAGTATTCACATACCAAATATGAACAAAATCGCTCCACTACTTTTCGAGTTATAGCAAAAGACGTTAAAATGGCGGCCTTCTACCAAAAATGTCATCAGACAGTGTGCCATGCTTATAGTATTCACATACCAAATATGAACAAAATCGCTCCACTACTGTTTGAGTTATAATACGTTAAAATGGTGACCATTTTTCAAAATGGCCGCCTTCTACCAAAAGTGTCATTAGACAGTGTGCCATGCTTATAGTATTCACATACCAAATATGAACAAAATTACACTACTTTTCAAGTTGTAGTACTAAATACGTTGAAATGGCGGCCATTTTTCAAAATAGTAGTATTTTATATTATCGTGTGATCTGTAAAATGAAGCCCTCTGATTGGTCAGTTCTTGTGCTGTACCAATCTGTATTGCTACTGAGATTGTCCCCGTTGATCATCTCCGTCGCAATACAGAAAATATTGGTACGGTGGGGACAATCTCAGTAACAATACAGAGGACCACACGTTAAAAACGTTATTGAACATATTAACTTCGTCTCGTTCCAATACAAAATTTCTCGAGCAGAATATATCCTGTATTGCACTTCAAATCATTCGATAACTTATAGTATTCACATACTAAATATGAACAAAATCGCTCCAATACTTTTCGATCGAGATCTAGTAAAATACGTTAAAATGCCTTCTAACAAAAGTGTCATTAGACAGTGTGCCATGCTTAATAATGACTGCCATGCATGTGCTTCTTTAATATCTACATTTCTAGCTTTATTAATGTCCTATATAACTTTTTTTACATTTAAAACATATTGCTATTAGTTTTACATACTGGGCCTAAATTACTGTAAAATCTGCAGTAAAATGGCCATTTTTAAATAAGCGGCCATTATGAAAATCGGCTTTTGAGCAAAGGGTATATGTGTACAAAATATGAACAAAATCGGGCCAACGGTATTTGAGTTATTGCCCGGACGGACGGACCAACGGACGGGCGGACGCCTGGTCGATCCCATAGGCTCACTGTGTAAGCCAATAATCCATGTGTTACTGTATGCGAATAGACGTAAATTCAAACCAGGGTGTACATTGGAGCATAAATGCAGAAACATTGATTGACTAATTAAAATATTCATGGAGACTCCATAAAAATACTGTGAAATGGTTTGTTTTGGTTCTTAACCAGTGGCCTGTCTTATTTATACCACTTGACAATAATCATACCATTCGTATTTTAAGGTGAGATTGTCAGATTGAAAGCAATATGTACACGGTGATACACAAAATTGGAACATTTCTTGAATTTATGTAGAAAATGTATTTCTTTGACCCCTCTTCTACTGAATTACTAGTTCCAGCTGTGGCACCCTTGGTATACGCAGCTAACGAAAATTGACCGGTACGGGTCAAAAGCTGGACCGGTACGGGTTAACGGTTTTATTTGAATTTAAAACAGCCATAACTTGCTCAATATTGACTTCCTCGTGTCTAATTTGAAATATATGATGCCTCCCGATGCTTTTAAGTACCCTTACAGATTTTTAAATGGACCAAAACTCTATAAATGCGCATTTATGCTCTTTTCTCTCGAGAACGACTGTCTCATTTTCACGATAACTTTTATTTAGTACTTCTAACATATAAGATCTATTTTTCCCCATCAAGGTATGATGTAAATGACATGCTATTTACATCTTGTGAGTTTCAATGACGCGCGTTTCAATGACGGACCGGTTCTATTGCCCCGAACCGGTCCGTCTTCTCGCTGCAAGCAGGAGGAAATTCTTTGTCACAAAGTTTGGCATTTTTTTATAAAATCAAACGCGCGTCATTGAAACTCACAAGATGTAAATAGCATGTCATTTACATCATACCTTGATGGGTAAGATTTCAGAAAAAACTGGAGTTTTTGCGGTAGGTTCTGAAAAAACGGGAGTTTTTACGGTAGGTTTTGAAAAAACTGGAGTTTTTGAGGTAGATTTAAAAAAGGGAGTTTTTACGGTAGATTTCTGAAAAACGGGAGTTTTTATTGTAGATTTCTGAAAGAACGGGAGTTTTTACGGTAGATTCTGAAAAAACGGGAGTTTTTACGGTAGATTTCTGAAAAAACGGGAGTTTTTACGGTAGATTTTGAAAAACGGGAGTTTTTATGGTAGTTCTGAAAAAACGGGAGTTTTTACTTTAGATTTTGAAAAACGGGAGTTTTTACGGTAGATTTTGAAAGAACGGGAGTTTTTACGGTAGATTTCGGAAAAACGGGTGTTTTTACAGTAGATTTTGAAAAAACGTGAGTTTTTACGGTATATTTCTGAAAAATTGAGGATGATTTATATTTCAAACTGTCTATATTATTAATATGATCTGTTTAGATTATAGATACAACATTTTATTACTGTGGAAACGAATTGATCAAAGCTAAGTAAAATGTATATGTGGCAATTTGCGTGTGGTTCCATTTTTAGGTTCGGTTTTTCGCGCATGAGCATTAAATCCAGCGATTTAATTGGTTGAAATTATTATGACGCATGCGCAGTTAATAAATTAAATAGAACTTATAATCTAAGATAGATGTCACTTACGTTCATTATTTCACAGCAGTCCCTACCCATAATGCGCCTCATATTGTGGGAATATTTTGTTTAGCGCCATATAAAAACAAAATGTATTCTCCCGACAGAAGTATGACATAATATGAACTGGCCCCCGTTTGTGGACATTTGGTGTGCAAACTGATCGCAGAAAAGCAATCTGAATCATGGGAATGAAGTACTTTTAAGTTATTTATGAAACTATCGTGAACCATGGGAGCCAATCCTTCTTGGAGTAAAAGAAAGAAGCGTGCCTGCAATAATCAAGGTCACAAATTTGTCAAATTCCTTTTTTAAATACGGTAGATTTCGACAGCAAAAACGGAGATTTTACGGGAGTTATACCAAGAATACGGGAGATTTTACGGGAGTTATACCAGAAAGCGGGAGATTTTACGGGAGTTATACCAAGAATACGGGAGATTTTACGGGAGTTATACCAGAATACGGGAGATTTTACGGGAGATTTCAGCAAAAATTACGGGAGATTTTAGTAGAAATACGGTACGGGAGTTTACGGGAGTTTTTGCGGAAGAAAACGGTACGGGAGTTTGGTATTTTTTACAGAAAAACAAAAAATTTACGGGAGATTCCCGTAAAAAAACGGGAGGTTGGCAAGTCTGGCATATGGAAATAAACCCCTAGCAACTCAAACCACGATCTAACATCCTCAAAATGGTATCCAGTGTCCCCCCCCCTCTCCAACCTTTCATATTTAATGTGGCTTTAGTTGTGAATAATCTCTGTGTATCATTGTATGGCATAATGGGTAAAACTTACTCGAGTCTCTAGCCAATACTTGGCTCGAGGGGATTCATCTGGAATACTGTGAACTCTATTTGAAAAAAGCTGCCGGGGTGTCATAAATTTATTGAATATTTTAAAAATCGCCAGATAAATAAATCATTAATCAAACCGGACCCAGCTCGGCTCCTTGATGAGATATGACATGATTTCATCAGGATTTCGTCTAAAATTAAAACAAAATGGCTCCAAGAAAAATGGCGATGTTCGAAAACTGGACGAAATGTCGTTACGTCTGACATTAGTAACTGGCTGTAAATTCTAAGTTAGCGATCCAGAAGATGTGAACTAATACACTGATCACTTTGTGTGTGTTTTGGAATTTTTGGTGAGGTAATAAGACCAAAACTCGCAATTCAAATTGTGATGTGGAAAAATGGCGGACATATGATTTCAAATTTTATGATTACGACATGACCAGTTGTTCATGCAGGAATATATCTGTACTGGAAGGCCACGATACAGTGGCCTTAGAAGAAGGTAAGGTAAAACATGTTTGCTATAACTTCAGCTGACAGTATTGAACATGCTACTCTGGGAGATGAACTTGGAGTGTCGAAAAGCCTTACTTGACTCTGTTACCGCAATTCACCTAAAATGGGGGCGATGGTGGCAATACCCACACCTTATGTGTATTTAGACAACCTAGAAGAATGGGAGAGGAGTCGTCCCGAGGCCCCTCTAGCTGCTTCTATATACCCATTGTATGCTGTCATTGCTGTTTCTATGATTC